TTTATTTGTCATTCTAGGTTTTTACACACAGATTAAGGAAATATTTAATTTTACACATTTTCAATATAAAAACACAATTACCAATACACCTAACCACTTTTCAATCAATAGAAAAATAAAATATCATATAAACCTAATAAATTCTGTCTCGCAACTCTAAAACGACACTTATTTTGAAACGATTTGTTTCCTCTAGAATGACATCTAATTTGAAACGGAGGGAGTATGATTTTGGGCTTTATATTTTTAAATTTTGTTTTGTTTAAAGAATGTGGTCTACAAAGCTCATAAATCAAAAATCCTATCAAGATGTCTCTCTCCGTAACTATAATCATAAGCCACATCATAAAATGAAAGTGATTCTCGAAGGATATTTTTATGAGCGATTCGACGTGAAACTAGAGGCGGCGGGAACGATTACCGTGAGTTTCGAAATATCGAACGTTGCATCGCGGCCAACAGGAGGGATGGTTTCAGATTTGTTGGGGAGAAGATTCATGATGAGAGGGGGGCTCTGGGGAGGTTTGGATGGTGCAATATGTGGCTGGATTGTTGTGTGTGTTACTCGGACGAATCAACTCGCTCTGGTGATCGGTCGCTGTTACGTGGGTCTTCTCTATATTCGTTCAAGCTGCTTCTAGTCTCATATTTGCCGTCGTACCATTTGTTTCCACTTTACTATTTTTTTTTAATTTACAGTTTAATTGATTTATTGTTTTTTTTTTAATTTCCGGTGACACGTAGCTAGGAGTGATGGCAAGAATAATGGGAAGTGGTGGAACTGTAGGTGCGGTGGTGACACAACTTTTGTTGTTTTCCAGAAATAATCTTAGAAAGCAAAGAAGCATTTGACTTATGGGATTAGTGACTTTTGTCGTGTCTATTTCACTTTGATAGTTAAAAATTCATAAAACAAAGAGACCGTCATTGTAAAAAGGTTTTTTGGGTTGAATATATTTTCCCATTCATTCAAAATAATAAAAAACATATATGTTTTCATATAAAGAAAACTTTATAGATAAAGCTATCATTAATTTTCAATCATATATGAAGCAAAAGTATTATCAAACTTCAAAAAAAATTCAAATTTAAAATTGAATAGTATGCTTCAGATATTAGAATATAAAAAAAATCATTTTCTTCAACAATATTACGTACAAAATAGAAGAAATGTATATATTTACAAAACAGTGTGTATCACTCTTCTATTAATACGTTTAGAAATAATCGTTTATGTTGTTTTAAAAAAAAAGAATAATAATAATCGCTATACACTTTTATCATATTCAAACTGCTGAATTGAGGATTCTACTAACCAAACAAATAGAAGCATTGATTAGGTTTACTAAATTTTAAATATATGTTTCAAAAAGAATTAAGCCTTGCAAACTCTCTTCGAAGAGGAAAAAATATGGTAATTAGGAGTGGGCATCCAGGTTTCAGTTCAGGTATTCAGATTTTGGAGGTAAAGATTTTAGTCATTTTCGGGTATTTATAAATTTCACTTAGGATTCGGTTCGGATCTTTACGTGTTTGGATAACTCATCTGAATTATTTTTGAAATTTTCAAATTTATATATACTTTAAATTTCTCAAAAGTTAAAAAATAAAAATAATATATAACACATAAATTTAAGTAGTGTATGTAAATTAGTTTTTTAAATATGTAGATGAATAATCAATAGATATTTAAGTATTTTTGGTGTTTTGAGTATTATTTAGCTATTTTATATATTTCATATATACATTGGATTTTTTTTTGTTATTAAATCTAAAAGTATCTAATATATTCATATATATAAATATGATTCGGATGTATGCGGATACCAAAACATTTCATTATAAATAAGGTTTGTTGTGGTATTCTAAATACTAAAATTTGGACCCATTCAGATATTTAGCAAATTTCATTTCGAGTTCGTTACTACTTTTGAGATCAGATTTTGTTTGATTCTTGGAATTCAGATTTTATGCCCAATCGTATTAGTAGCAAAACAGAAAAGGCTACAAGTTATACCTACATACTTATTAATCTTTACATGTATGTATCAATATCCTACTACTTTTCAAAAACATAATACTACATAAACGAAAAAAACTCAGGAAAGGGTATAAGTTAAGTCTATTCAGTTCTCAATTTAATAATCACTTTTTAATATTCTCTTCTAAATATATAAATTACTAAAATATTAAATCTTATACATTTAAATTTATTAAAATGATATATACTCAAAATGTAATTAAATGAGACACATAAATACTAAAATAGTAAAAAACAAAAATCAAGATAACAAAACATCAAAGGATCAAAAATATATGATCAAATTAAAGAAAAGAGAGACAAAAATAAATATAAATCTCTTTTTTCTGACGACAAATATAAATCTCTTATTACTTCAATATAACTAAATAAAAACTTTTCAATTAGACAATGAACAACACATTTATTACAGCTTTTAGTAGAAAAAAATTATTACGTTTGAAAAAAATACTTTAACAAAAAAAAAACTAAAACAATATAAGTAAAACCAAAATATAGAATCAAATCCACGTGTAGCATGATCAAAACTCTAGTATATATAATGGACTTATTAATAACTAACTGTATGCAAAACTGAAACCAAAGAATCCATATTTTTTTAACAGAATCGACACTATTAGAAAAACTTAACATCATTTTTAGTTATTTATAATTATAATTTTATGAAATATTTGATGTTAAATAAATGAGATAAAAAAGTTAGAAATATGAGCATCCAATCAGTTTCTTACACTTGTCTTCATCAATCTATTTTCGTTACAATGAAAATTTGTTTTTAACGACATTGATAAGTTTCAACACAGAATTTGCCACATTGATTTGTTATTTTTGTCAACAACTGATAAATGTACCATTCTAAATAGTCTTATAACAGCTACAAAATCTTGACTTTACATTTCTGTTTATGATTGGTTAGCTTTTCATTAATTAGATTTAGATTTCTTCATTAGTCAAAAGTCTACTTTAAATTAAATGTAAACTAATTTATAATATTCCATTTATTGTATTTCTCAGTTAAGAAATGATTTCTCTTTTATTTGATAAATAGTTAACAAAGAGAAAAGATCACCCTTACCTCACAACCATTATATATAGACATATAATCCTTATCACACCAGTCACTGAAAACAAAAATCCAACAAAGAATATTGATCATGGCAAAGTTATCATGTTCTTATTTTCTTGCACTCGTGATTGTATTTTCAGGTAATTTAATTTTGCCATTTCCAATTAAACATGCAAAATTATTAGCTTATATATAATTTTTTTGTCTTGATGTCTTGTTTTTTTTTTGTAGCATGTTTAATGGTAGAAAGAACTGAAGGAAAGCTATGTGAAATAACCATTAATAAAGAACAGACATGTTATTTGCCCGATTGCGTTCGAGACTGCTCTGCGCTTTATAATGCCGTTGCACATTGTATTGACGATCCTAAAGTTCCCGGACCTCTTAACTGTCGTTGTAAATATAATTGTTAAATTGATGGATGCATTGAAAAGATGTGATAGATATATTAAATAAAGGTAAGCTTTCTTTAATCGTAATAAATAAAATGTTACTTTACTTTGAATAAAAATAATGGAAATATTGGTGTTGTCCCAACAAAATTTTAGACATTTTTATATAGACACAAAATCGCTAAATTATAAATATATTTTTTTTGAAAAATTCTTACGAAATGTTTATAGCCCAAATTATTAAATTCAGCCTTACTAGGAACTAGTTCCAACATATTTTACCTGGTTTGAAAAAGATAGATAGTCAAAAATCAATAGCCTTGAAGGAGAAATCATCATCTTTATTAACCAATAAGAAGTTCACAGGCTTCAAGTCACTATGCATAATACCAAGCAAATGACACGCTTCAACAATCCCAACAATGATTTTAGTAAGCTCAGCAGCTTTCTTCTCACTGTAATGTCCTCTCTGAATAATCCTATCAAACAACTCACCTCCATTACAAAGCTCCATCACAATATTAACAAACAAAGCGTCCTCATAAGCTCCTTAATCGTTACGCTGTTACCGTAACCATCAAAATGGTGCATAATCTGAATATCCCTTCTAACTCTTCAACAACTTTCTTAAAGATCAGTTTCCTCTTTGGATATTGACTTACAAGCGTAGTTAACACCCGTAGCAACTTCTGTTAGATTCGTTAGATGAGAGTGTGTTGGGTTTTAATTTACGGCAATGATTGTGTGAAGAAAGGTTTTGGACTCTTGTAGTGGTTAATAGCTAGTTTGGTTTCCTCTTACCTTCTTTCTTGGCTTTGTATTATTAAACAAATTCCTCTTTTATTACCAACTTTGGTAGATGAGAACATTCATTTTTGTTTATCAACCATTGGCAAAGCTCAATGGAAAACTTATAAGCAATGGGTTTTGAGAAATAAAAGTAGGAATCTGAGTATTGAGAATGTTACAACAAAGCTACCAGCATCAGTTGTTGAAAATTCCAATGATGATGAATAAGATTTTGAAGAAATCTGTTAAATCTTATTAAGGATTGTTCCATGAAAAAAATTGATTGTAAAATCAAAAGACATAATATTCTACCGGAATTATAGCTCTCCGGCAACACTAAGAACACCGAAAAAACTTTCATCCTAAAAGATTTCAAGCTCTAAAAAACCGTTGATAATATTTGTCAACAGTTGATAAATGTACCATTATAACCAAATCTTGACTTTACATCTCTATTTATGATTGGTTAGTTTTTCATTAATTAGATATAGATTTTTTCATTAGTCAAAAGTATATTTTAAATAAAATGTAAGCTAGTTTATAATATTCCATTTATTGTATTTCTCAATTAAGAAATGATTTCTCTTTCATTTGACAAATAGTTAACAAACAGAAAAGATCACCCTTACCTCACAACCAACCAGTATATATAGACATATAATCCTTATCACACCAGTCATTGAAAAGAAAAATCCAACAAAGAATATCAATCATGGCAAAGTTATCATGTTCTTATTTTCTTGTACTCATGATTGTATTTTCAGGTAATTTCATTTTGCCATTTCCAATTAAACATGCAAAAATATTAGCATATATATATTTTTTGTGTTGATGTATTGCTTTTTTGTAGCATGTTTAATGGTTGAAAGAACTGAAGGGAAGCTATGTGAAATAACCATTAATAAAGAAATGGCATGTTATTTGCCCGATTGCGATCGAGACTGCAACGAGCTTTATAATGCCATTGCCCATTGTGTGGACGATCCTAATGTTCCCGGACCTCTTAACTGTCGTTGTACATATAATTGTTAAAGTGATGGATGCATTGAAAAGATGTGATAGATATATTAAATAAAGGTAAGCTTTTTTTAATCGAAATAAACATTATGGAGAATGAATAAAAGATTTCTTTAATCAGAATAAAAATTATGGAAATATTTGGTTTTGTCCCAACAAAAATTCAGACATTTTTATATAGACGCAGATCGCTAAATTATGATTTTTTTTTTTTTGAAAAATTCTTACAAAATGTTTATACCCCCAAATTATCAAATTCGGTCTTACTAGAAACTAGTTCCAACATCATCTTGGTTTGAAAAAGATAGATAATAAAAAAATTAATAGCCTTGAAGGAGAAATCATCATCCTTATTAACCAATAGAAGTTCTCAGGCATCAAGTCACTATGCATAATACCAAGCCAATAACACGTTTCAACAACCCCAACAATGATCTTAGTCAGATCAGCAGCTTTTCTTTCTCTGTAATGCCCTCTCTGAATAATCCTATCAAACAACTCACTTCCAGCACAAAACTCCATCACAATGTTAACATACAATTACAAAACGTCCTCATAAGCTCTTTTGATCGTTACAATGTTACTGTAACCATCGAAATGGTGCATAATCTGAATCTCCCTTCTAACATCCTCAACATCTTTCTTAGAGATCAGTTTTCTCTTGGATATTGACTTACAAACGTAGTCAATACCACTTGGCAACTTCTGTTCAGTTAGATTCATTGGATGAGAGAGTGTGGTGGGTTTTAGTTTACGGTAATGATTGTGTGAAGAAAGTTCTTGGACTCTTGTAGTGGTTAACAGCTAGTTTGGTTTCCTCTCACCTTCTTTCTTGGCTTTGTATTATTAAACAAGTTCCTCTTTTATTACCAACTTTGGTAGATGAGAATATTCATTTTTGTTTATCAACCATTAACAAAGCTCAATGGAGAGCTTATAATCAATGGGTTTTGAGAAACAAAAAGTAGGAATCTGAGAATGTTATAACAAAGCTACTAGCATCAGTTGTTGCAAGTTCCAATGATGATGAACAATATTTTGAAGAAATCTGTTAAATCTTATTAAGGATTGTTCCATGAAAAAAATTCATTGTAGAATCAAAAGACAGAATATTCTACCGGAATTATAGCTCTCCGGCAACACTAAGAACACACAAAAAAACCTTTCATCCTAAAGGATCTCAAGTTCTAAAAAGATTGATCCATAAATTTTTCATCAACATTATGGAAAAAACGACTATGAGAAACATTTGGTTTGCACTGGTTAATATGACTAACCACCGGTTTATTTCTTTGCTTGGTCCTTCTTAGGCTGGTCCTTCTTAGCTTGGTCCTTTTGTTGGTCACTGACACGTCCTCCTGCGATCTTAACAATTGGTTCGTCTTTGGGCCTTACCAACTTCAGCGCCGGATGAACCTTGAGGTCTCCCGCTACTAGCTTCTGTCCAACGTCCAATAGGCTGAGATCTACTTCTATATATGGAGGGATGATCTCTGCCGGACATAGGAACTTCACCGTTCTTTTGATCGTGTTCAGAGATGCTCCTGCAGAAAAATTAAAAAAAAATGGTGATCAATATTGAAACTTAAAGATCCCAGAAAAGGGTAAATACTAATAAGGGATGAAACTTCAAGATCCCAGAAAATGGTTACAAGCCACTAAACCATAGCTGATCAAACATATTGTCATTTGAAGTGATGATTACTTGTCATCGCAAAAGCTTAGCTCACTCTGATACAAGAGCATGATAACTGAAACCAGGTCAGTATCACTTCTCGACAGACATAAAAGCTCAATGAACTCCAATCAAGTCAATTCTAATATTCAAACTAACTACTTAACGGAGCCATTGTATAATCCTATTTGCAAGCATCTCTACTCTACTGTGCAGGACTCGTTCTCAGCAACCAAAAGTCAAAACCCATATATATAATCACTAAACAGGTTACACCGAGGAGAAAGGATACATAGCACACTTTTTTTACTTCTCTTCCAAATATTTTTCTCAAATTTTTCATTCTATTTGTTAATTGCTAGCCAGAAACGCATAGTGTAAAATGATTCCAGAACAAAAAAATCGTCTCTCATGGTTAAATCAAAACAAAAGGAACTAATTTTCTAAACCCACTCAAACTCCCTTATACCTTTCTTCAACCCCGGAGACACATCATCTCCAATAAACACAAGAGGAACATCAACCTTCAACAAAGTCCCAGGAGGAGCTCTTATAAACGTCACATTCAGCGGCGCATCAGTCCCAGAATGCAAATGAATCTGAAACAAAAAAAAAACATTTCCAAAAGCAAACATCTTTACATAACTTAACACATACCCAATAAGCCAAACACAACATTCTTCAGTCAAAGAAAAAACAACAGTAACTAAATATTTATAATCAGACAAGACAATTATGATCTAAAACGATGATTAATCAATTTATTACCGATCTGGGCAAGGCCCTGACTTTCTCAACGACCTCATCGGAACCAATCTCAGCCCTAACCTCGACATCGAAGAGCCTCGAGAGGAAGAAAGAGTAACCAAGATGAGTCACGAGCTTCCTGATCTGATTCGTCTGAACTGAGACAAGCCTCTTGTTCCCTCCGTGCTGACCATCCTCCTGTTCGAATATGATCGAAGGGACACGACCGGCTTTACGCTCTTTCGCGGAGATGTTCTTGCCGGAATCGGACCGAGGAACGGCTAGGATTGTCTCTGCGTGTTTTGAATCGGGTTGTGGGAAGCCAGGGAGGTAGTCTAGTTGGGTTTGTAAGGTGTGGTCGAGGGGTAGTGCGGAGGTTGCGGAAGGAGAGAAGTGACGGAGGTTTTGTAGGGTTTTGGGGAGTGCGGTGGTTGCACGACGGAGGAGTAACATTGTTTACTTACCAGAGGGAGAGAGAGAGAGTGAGGAGGAGCTTTTGTTTAGCGAGGTTTCTTTAGTGAAACGCTGTCGCTTTTTGTGATTTATAATGGGCTTAATTTGAAATTTTCATGGGCTTTAAATTTAGCTCAACCCATTTGCAAGTGCTTTTGATGGGAAACAAAGTGCAACGGATATTCCATAGAGATGTGCTTTGAATCTATATCTACCTGTTTTGTAGTGACCATTTTATCCTCAATATGTACCAAACGGTTTATTTGGTTAACCGAACGAAACTAATCCGTTGCAATTTTGTTTCGGTTAGTGATGAATGTATCATTCAGTTCCATTCATAGATGGAAGCCAAATCTACACTACTTAAATTAAGCTTTGGCTAGAGAGTAGAGAGTGATTAGGAAAGGAGATTTAAGCAAACAAAATTCAAAAGACCAATGGAAACAATCTGAACCGGACGTATTTTAGTATCGTCGGTACTAAAGAGATCTGTGGTATGTATTTAGTGAGGGTAAAATCGTCCGGGACAAAATAAAAGCCTTCACCACGATGGTATAAGCTCGTCTTGCTCTCTTGACAATTAGGAAAAAACACATTTGGCTCAAGTCTCAGAACCTTTTTTTCTGTAGTCAAAGGTATTGTTTTTGTTATAACCATTCTCTTCTTAATGTTGTATCATTTGCTTCTTTTGCTATTATCATATAGTACGCTTTAGCGTTTAGATTCTAATTTATATGTATTTTTCTTTTCTGTTGTTAAAAGGAAAAACAAAGAAGAAGTCACTCGAACAACTTCTTGAACTCATGAGGATCAAGAAAAATGGCGCTTGTACTTTCACACTTCATCTTCCATGTGCAAGGTAAGTTTGTCTGATTTTCTCAAGTCCCTCGAATCTATTTTAAAAAGGTTATTCTGTTTGAGCATATTCCGGGTATGTAGTTGCGGCTTAGTTCTGATTTTATTATGAGCATGTTCTGAAATCAGTAACCATCTAGAATTGGGCCGTATGAAAACTGATACTGGACTTGAATATTGGTGAAGTCCATCCTTTGTGCTCTGTTGGGCCCTTCTCTTACGACATGTACCGCAAAACTATATAATATAAAATAACTGTATATAACATTTTAATGTTTTATCATTCCGCAGACAGACACAACGTGGCTCATGTACGAACGGCTGACTATTTCTCCACGTGTCATGCAATCAGCGATTCAAATCATACAACGTCTTTTGCTTAAGCTTAAACCTCCGCCACGTAAACATTCTACCGACGACGGTGGCCGTTAACTCTGACGGCGTCACATGTCGGTTACCTTTGTGTTCCCATCTCTTTCGCCTTTATTTCCTTTGTCCCCAATGCATGCGCTCTGCCCTAGTTAAGTAACGAACGTGTTACTTCGGAACCGAACCAAACCAACGGCTCAGATCTCAACCACTATATATCAACGGATGATACTGAGTTAAAAAAAAACACTTTAAGGCTAAAAACTACTTTCTTCTTTTGTCGTTGAATCAAAGTCGGAAACATCAAGATCTGCGCGAAATCGAATCGGAGAAGATGACGGAGGAGCACAAACACGAAGAGTCCGTCGCCGCTCCGGAGCCTGCGGTGGAGATTGTGGAGAGAGAATCGTTGATGGAGAAGATATCGGAGAAGATCCACCATTCGTCGTCGTCGTCTTCGTCATCCTCAGATGACGAGGACGAGAAAAAGAAGGAGAATAAACCCTCTTCTCCGTCTTCAATGAAATCGAAAGTCTACCGCTTGTTCGGAAGGGAGAAGCCTGTTCACAAAGTTCTCGGCGGTGGAAAGCGTACGTCTTTTTATTTTTTTTGCTCCGATCTGGTTTCTTGTGTTTTTTAGGATCTGGGTTTGCTTAAAGTTGTGGTTTTGTGTATAAAGTTTCATGCTTTTCTAATGTTTTTGTGTGATTCAATGGTATAATAGTGTGTATGTTAATAGTATATGTGTATGTTTTGCTCAGCTGCTGATATATTCATGTGGAAGAACAAGAAGATGTCTGGTGGTGTTCTCGGTGGCGCTACAGCTGCGTGGGTTCTGTTTGAGTTGATGGAGTATCATCTTCTTACTTTGCTTTGTCATGTGATGATTGTTGTTCTTGCAGTTCTGTTTCTCTGGTCTAATGCCACCATGTTCATTCACAAGTAAGTTGATGGCCTAAATGGGATAGTTTTTACGTGTGTTAGCTTGATTGTTGACGGTTGGTTCTGTATCAGGTCACCACCAAAGATTCCTGAAGTTCATATCCCTGAGGAGCCTATTCTTCAGCTTGCGTCTGGGCTTAGGATAGAGATCAACCGTGGGTTACATTCCCTTCGTGAGATTGCATCTGGAAGGGATCTCAAGAAGTTTATCTCTGTAAGTGAAAGTGTGATGTTTAGTAGAAACTGTTTGGATTACTTGTGATATCTCTGTTTTCATTGATAAACAAATGTACCCTTTGGATTGAATAGGCTGTTGCTGGCTTGTGGGTTCTATCAATCTTGGGAGGATGGTTCAACTTCTTGACATTGGCATACATAGGTAATGACTTAAATCTTCCATACCCTTGTGGTGATCTCATTGAACCCTGATGACTAAAACTAACTCTCTTATCTGCTGCAACAGCTCTTGTGCTGCTCTTCACGGTGCCTCTTGTCTACGACAAGTACGAAGACAAAGTTGACCCGTTAGGTGAGAAAGCAATGATCGAGATCAAGAAGCAGTACGCAGTGTTGGACGAGAAGGTGTTGAGCAAGATACCATTGGGCCCGTTGAAGAACAAGAAGAGAGATTAGTAGGTTCTACGAAATGGTAATACGTTGATAGCAAAAAAAAGGGTGTTGTGTAATGGTGTCAGAATCTGTGTCTTTCATCTTTTTAGTATGTTGTTTTGTTCAGGTGGATTGTTGTAAGAAGCTTTAGACGTTTATACAATATCTTACTACCTCTTCATTCAATCTGAAGTTTGTTCATTTATTGATAAGGATGATCTTAGTAGGGTCTTGCTTAAAAACAGAACTAGTATTAATTAGTGTCTACATATACAGTAAGTTACATACTAAGCAATAGTCAGGGTGGCCGAGTGGTCTAAGGCGCCAGACTCAAGTTCTGGTCCTCGTGAGAGGGCGTGGGTTCAAATTCCACTTCTGACAGTTATTTTTGTTTTTATATCTTAATTTTATTCAGTTATCTTATCACCATTACAGAGATGTTCCCATTACAGCCTCTCAGTTGTATATACTGTTTAGTAAAACCGCGTATTGTTTTCAATTAATGACTGCGAAAAGTAAACCTTGTCGCATGGTCAGAAGGCTAACTCTCTCGACTATTTGAATGAGTATCAACAAGCCTTCTTTTAAACAAAGGGCATGACAACAAGAAGTTCCTATTAACAGAACCAGACACTAATGAGAAGAAGTCAAAAGTTTCGGCTAATCTGACAATGGCTTCTCCTTGAGCTTGTTAGTCCTGAAGGAGACCACCACCTTGTACTAGAGATATCTATTGAAAAGTTCTTCCAAGTAATACTCCACTAAATATAATAGCACCAAACCACTTGTTCGACACAAATCTGTAGAAATACCAAAACCACAAAGTGTTAATGCACCAAAGACAGAAGAAAGAAGCGTAAACTGTTAACATACTTGCTACTGCAGTCAGCACGAGATGAAAAGTCAGCTGTCCCTATTTGCCATCCTAACTGTCCTGATGCAGCCACCAGTGATGCGTAATATTGCCACCCTTAATCATTAGAACGATAAAACTTTTAAAAACAATGTAGATAGAACTAAGAATCACAAAAGAAGTCTAGTAAAAGTTCATTTGAGTACCAAGATCTGCACTCAGTCCAGAAAGCGCAAGCAACCCCATGGATGCTGTGCCAAATCCAGTAAGCCAAAGCTTTGTATTATCACCGAATCTAAGAGCTGTTGACTTAACACCAACCTTCACATCATCTTCTTTGTCCTGCAGACACATTGTTTCAACAAAAAAAAAGCTCCATAATAACTCAAAACTACTCTAAGAACTATACCTGATGTGCATAAATAGTATCATAAACAAGGGTCCAGCAGACTCCTGAGAGATAAAGAGGGACTACAACTGCTGGTTCTAAGCTTCCTTTAACTGCAGCCCATCCTAACAGTGCTCCCCAGTTTATGGTAAAACCTAAAAATGCTTGAGGCTGCAATAACATAATCAATCAAAAAAAAAAGACAGAAGAAAATATACTATTCAACTTTAAGAAGCATTTTTACCCAAAATGTAAACCTCTTCATAAGTGGGTAGGAGAAGACTAGTAACAAAGATAAAGCCCCTAATACACGGCTGCAGAATATAAGATTGAAATGAGCTCACATAGAAAGAAAAAAAGAAGTTAGGCACAAAACTAAAGGGAAGGCATGACAATTATGCTTTACAGAACTTGACTACATCTGGTGACTGATGATTGATATGTGATTTGTGAATATAAACAAACCTGTAGTTGTTAAGTTGGAGAAGAATCCCTAAGCCTAAAGCTAATTGTAGCCCAAGAAACTGAAGCCCTTGTAATGGTGTCAAAAGACCACTGGCTATAGGTCTTAGTCTTGTACGTTCAACCTGATAAGGAAAAAGCAATTTCTCAGGCCCTTGCATATTGCTTGAACGAACATACTAAAGGGATCATTCAGTTAAACTGACCTTTGTATCAATGTCCCGATCAAACATATCGTTTATAGTACAACCAGCACCTCTGAAGAGTAGTGCTTTACAACCGAATAAAGCCATCATTTCAAAACTTGGAAGGCTTCCTGGATCAGCAGCCAACGCAATTGACCTATATAAGAATGATGGAGATTCACAATTTTGAACTATTTGCTTAACTCTGGAACAAGATCCACGATGAGGATTATGGTTTATTTATTGCCTTTGTATAGATATAGTATGTGTATGTAAAGTCCAACCATGCAAAAAAAGGAATATCATCAATGTGAAAATAATCGAGGATGAATCTTGTTGATCTTAACTGTTACTTAACACTCTACTCTATTAGTGAACCAATCACATTCGTATGGACGAACATGACTATTTATTTCGGTTTAGGAAAATATATTACATCAAAATAAAAATTATTTTTTAAAAATTGTAAATACGGGATTAATACAAATTAATGTTTTGTCTCAATCAAGTTTTATTATAGTTTTCTATCTTTTCCGATTTTTATTTTTATTTTCTTAGCAACATCCAAATTTATTTCTCACACTATTTCATAACAGTTTATTATTGACTGTCGAAGTTTGATATAACGTATATTTATTATAAAAATTCAAACATTTTATTTAATTTACTTGTTTTAATTTTTATTCATAACTAGGGCCGTGTCCGCGCTACGCGCGGATTGTCTGATATTTATGCTAGGTGTAATTTATTTTTAATAACTATCTCTTCCTCAGTTTAATTGGATGAAAATTGTGGCATAAGAGTTACATTTGTATGTTTGATTTCATTGTTAATATTTTATTAATATCTGACAACTCAACTTAGTTTTTCTTTTGTAATTTTTTT